ATAGCGTCTTGTTATGGGCTCTAACAACGTTCGGTTACGGGCGCTAAACAACACCCAGTTACGAGCGCTAAAATAGCCCCGGTTCGAGCAGTTCGAACTGTGAAGTCCCCGCTTGCCATCACACGAAGCGAGAGAAGAAGGATCGCGAGCGTATGAGATGGAGACCGCAAATTCTCGCGAAGCTAGCGGGATTGCGAACTTGCGCCATCCTGGATGGAGACAACAGTGGAATTTTTGATTTTCTGGATTCTTCTAGCCTCTTTACTCTTTTATTTTGTGTAGAAGTTTCTTTTGTCCTGAGGGGGAGCCTATGAATTGCTGTCTTAGGGATGTAGGAAGTCAGTTCTTAGTGTGTTTTGCTTCAGATCTCCTGTGTGGAGTCACTTTCTCCTTTGTGGGCTGTATCTGAGGAGGTGGTGGTGCTTCGGATGTATCCTTTACAAGGTGATGATTATATCCTCCCTTTTACCTCCCCCAAACTATCTCCTCCCCACTTTTCAGCCACCAAACTCTCCCTTCATCGCCTTGACACCCTGCTATTTCCCCTTCCCATATTGCTGACCCGCCATCCTAACTCCTTTCAAGCTCCTCCCAACGACCTCACTATCGCTGCTGCCCTCCTAAAAACCTTTTCCACCTGTAGGAGGCCCAGAGACTATGGGATCAAAGTAGATTTACCCGAGTTTGAAGGAAGCATGGATCAAGATGAATTTTTTGAGTGGTCGCAAATTGTTGAACGAATCTTTGAATATAAGGATGTATCGGAGGAAAGGTGAGTCAAGCTAGCCGCCATTAAGCTGAAGAAGAGCGCTTCCCTTTGGTGGTAAAATGTAAGACGGTGAAAAGATTACTATATGGGAGAAGATGAATAAGGTAATGCAAAAAAAACACCTCCCACCCCACTATCGTTATGATATGTTTCTGAAAATCCACAACTTGCAGCAGAGAGATCTATCAGTCACAACCCAATTCGACCACATATAACTGAAATGGGAACTGATGAAGCCAGATGAGCATATAATAACCATATATCTCTGTGGTCTGAAGCCTACCATTAGCAATGTGGTGCAATTGCAATTGTACTGGCCTTGAAAGTGGAAAGATAACAGAAGAAGAGTAGGCCATCCTTCAGTACCACAACCGACAAGGGTAACTCGGGAAGTACTAGCAAGCCCAAACATGGGAATGGCAATTTGAATCAGAGCGAGAAGAAGCAGGAGAAAGACAGCGCCTCCAACATTGTATTATCCAGGAAATGTTTCAAGTGTCACAGTAATGGCCATATAGCCTCCAACTATCCTACGAGCAGAGTAGTGTGACTTACTGATCAAGGCGCTGTGGAAGAATTTATCGATGAAGAGAAAGCCGAGGAACAAGGTGAGATATATCAGCTTCCCCCATATGAGAGACGCTCATGATTCGACGAATCCTGTACCCTGAGGATATTAGGGATTCACAATGACTCCACCATAACATATTCTACACCCTCTGCATAGTGAACAATAAGATATGCAGTCTTATCATCGATGGTGGAAGCAATAAGAACGTGACGTTGACGCAGATGGTAGAGAAACTTTGACTGACAACTTAGGACATTCC